GCTCTTATATATATAGAGTTGTGTACTAACACATCAAATTAAATGATATATTCTCATAAATATTAACATAATTTTTATATATACTAACAATACACCCAATTTAAATTTATGATAAAAGGGAATTTTTTCCATGCCTTCATCATTTTTTTTCTTCAATGGAGTCACTCCTAAAAAAGTATTATTTATTGAGATTAATAATTAGTTCGGATTCCGAAATGATTTTGATAACGGTAGTCACTCCCAAAAAAATTCTTATATTACTTATAATTTATGAGCGCCAAGGACCAAACTTAATATGACTAATATAACACAGAAAAGTTATTTATCAATCGTGGTAGGACCTATTAAGTGATAGAAATCTTATTATGCATGTGGCTTGTTTCACTGTTAATATAGTGGTTTCATACCCAAAAAAATAGCTTAAAATCAATAAAAAGTATATCAAAGAAAAATTAGTTAATTAATTAATTAATTATAATATGTTCACTGTGTAAACAGTTTTTATATTATTCTATGGTACAAATATTAAGGTTATTAATTTTATAAATTATATCCAAAATAATTTCTAATTTATCATAATCTTTTTTTGACATGAAAAAGACATAAATGTATTAGTATAAGAGTTAATCATCTATCAGTGTAAAGTTTTTTATACTGGCAACCAATCATATCTTTTAAACTATTTTATTTTATTTTATTTTATTAAGATTTAATCACCTATACATTGTCAATGTAAAGTTTTTTTATACTGACAATCAATCATATCTTTTAATAGTATCATATCAGTTGCTCATTTAATAAAATAAAAATAAATTAAAATAATTTAAAAAATATAATAAGTTGTCCGTATAAATTTTTTTACACCTAATAGTGTATAAATAATTAACTCTTTTATTAAATAAACAACTAATATAACATTATTAAAAAATATAATTAATTACTAATATAAAAAATTTTTACCCTAAAAATGTATAAGTGATTAACTCTCTATATAAACGATATTTGGCAGCATTGCTTGAGTTGAGAAAGACACCATAGTGTACGACGCTGGCTCTGGGCCGTTTTTGAGTTCTTTGTATGGAAGCAAGCGGGCAACCGAATCAACGAGAACTAGTATAGGACGTTTCGATCATATAATAATTAAAATAAAAATAATTGATTATGTGACTTTTAAAAAAAAATTAAATCTAGTTCTTTCAAGTCAAAATTGATCTGCATCATGATTCGGCCTAAGATCATTCTCCAAAAGGAGTTTGAGTTTGAGGCACTAGAATGGACATATATATACACAAGATCCATATATATCCAATCAACAGTGACAACCTTTTCCTTATCAATCCAATGAAGGGGAAGAAAAGTTGAGTATATATGTTGCACCAACACATATATAGTAAATAAAACTAACCTGTAAATTGGACCGTATTGCTTGGCGAGGACTGAGAACACATCAGGGCCATACCTAGCCAACAAGGGAAGGTGTCCTACAAACGGGAGAGATGGTGGGCCTGGAACCTTCCTTACCCCCCAATAGGGTGCATACAGATATACCAACAATCCTCCTATTAAAGCAACAAGAGTGAACATTGGTGAAGCATATAACCCTTCCAAATCCATCAACACCATAAATATTTATTTGTTTTATTTTCCAGAGAGGGAGGGTTTTATTTTGTTGTGTGGGGGACTCTTTGTCTCAGTGCCTCATGGTCATGGATTGAGGCTTATATTAAGGAATTGGAGGTACTAACTACTAAGAAGGCTACATGAGGAGATGGGGTTTTGTCCTTATGTGAATGATGACATGTGAGAATTAGATACCCTTCTGCCCAATCCATTTGCTTCCTTCATTATATAATGCAAACAAATTAATAATGATTTTCATGGGAAGACGAAAATATATAATTTAGCATTGCGAGGCATACATTGTTTTCCGTTGAAAAGATACCTAATGGCTCGTGCATGTGGACTTTGTGAGTGTGTGGTGTGGGGGTATATGTGCACGTTCACCAGAATCAGGACACACACACACACTATCCACTATGAATCCTATTCCTATGCCCAGGCCAGGCATGAGAATGAGGCGTGCTGATTGCTCATTTATCCTTAGCATAAAACTACAAGGATAATTAATGTTTATATGAATCACCCCCAACCCAACCCAACCCTTACCCCTCTTCTACTTAATTTAATCAGCATTTATGCTTTCTACTATCTATGGATTCAATGAATGCACTCTGAATATACGTCATCACAGTTATCACAATAGTTTATAAATTATCACCTACCATATACCTCATCTCCTGCCCATTATTAATAAAGTATTGAAAAATGATATTGTTGTGAGCCACTGTTAGCCTATCTTGGCCTATTTAAGCAAGAAGAATCATGTTTAGATGTAGACACCTAATTTACTTTTTTTTTTTTTTTTTCATTTATTATTACATGGATATACTGTATCTGTACATATATACGTCCCATATAGGTTGTGGGATATGCAACAATTAATCATATCATGTTAAGCAAACACGCTGGTCCAACATTCATCAAAACCAATATAAACCATTAATATATATTTCAGACTACTGGAGAACCTTCCTAACAGTACAAACTCATATAGACGCAACGCAAGTTCATGACTTGAAACACTCATCACGGAGGAAATATCATCGCAGGGGCCTATCAATAAGCCTAAACACACTCTAATTCGACATATTTTATTATTATTTTTATATACCGACTTGCATCAGTTGCATGTAATTAACCATCAGTTATATACATAATCATCTAAAAAATTCTGGAGTTTGCCACAAATATATTTCTGATAGTCTCGAATGAATTGGTGCTAAAACAAAATATACACTCGCTAGATTCATAAATCCGGCATACTAGAGGAAGGAAATGCAGTATGTCATAAGTGATGTGAATTGATAAAAGAGAAAGATAAAAAAATGAGTAGTTGATGAGAAATAATTAAAAACACCATACAAATATATGAATGTCACTGTTATAAAATATTAAAATGTTTGAAACCAAGAGACGTGTTGTCCCCGTTATAATACTTTTCTCTGTATCTTATCGGAGACATACAAAGGGGGAAAAACTAAATTAAATCTCATGTTCTATCACTTCAGTATAATCACACAAAGAACTATGTTAAAAATACTTGGTTAATGTCAGAAATAAAAATTGTAAATTAAGATCAATATTTATATGACGACCACCAAATATATAACTTATAATATTGACTATTAATTTATACATAATAACTACATATGATTTGGATTTGTAATTTTCATATTTTACATATAATTTTATATCTAGGAGTTGCCCTGTATATGTATAAACTATAAAGTGAGCAGACTATTATTGTGTAAAAGGGGAAGGAGTGAATTTTCTCTATTGTATAAAACCATGAAATGTTAAAATTAAAAGAAGTCGTATGTCTTTTTAAGTTGATATTTGATTATTAAATAAATTATATATATATATATATATATATATATATATATATATGGGGGATATCTATTTTTCTAAAAA